AATGTTTTAAAAGCTTCTGTAGTTTAATGTGTGCATATGTGTGTGTACATGAATGGGTACATGGCACCTTTAGGCATGGAGGCCAGAAGCTGTAGGTAAAGGCATTTAGGAAGACACGTAGTTTGTTATGTCAGTGCTGGGATCTGAAATCTGCTCTTCATGATTGAGCAGGAAACACTCTTAACTGCTGAGCTATCTTTTTAGCCCTATAATAATATTTTAAATGTAGATGGGATGATAGGTTAGGGTTTTGTTTTATTGGAGGATGAGTGGAGACATTAATAAGTAGGGAATAAAGGTAATACATGAATCTTAGCAAATAAGAGCACTTGTTATTCTTACAGAGGACCTGGGTTCAGCTCTCAGCACCCACATAATACCTTAGAACCATTTTTAACTCTTTCTTTCTTCTGGCTTTTGTTTTTCAAAACAGGGTTTCTCTGTGTAGCCTTGATTTTTAGAACAGGCTGGCCTCAAACTTGAGATCTGCCCGCCTCTGCCTCCCTGAGTGCTGGGATCACAGGTGTGCGCCACCATGCCTAGCTTCTTGCCTTCTTTGGCACTGCATGCATGTGGTACACAGATACACATGCATGTAAAACACCAATCCATATACATAAAAAAATTGTTAGCATGAGATTGTCTGTACTGCTCTTGCAGAGAACCCATGTTCAATTCTAGCACCAACACAGAGTGACTCCCAGTCACTCCCAGTGACCTGTACCTGGCTTCTGGGGATCCAGCACCTCCAGGAGTATCTGCACTCATGTCCAGTATCCACACACAGACACATAAACACATAATTTGAAATAAATACAACCCTAAGGTCTGAATATAGAGTTAAACGAATCAAGTTATGGAATTCCTGAACTTAATTATTTGAAAAATAAAACTTGTAAGCAGTACTATCCTTTGGTCAAGAGTATAGTCCTAGAGGGCCTCTGAAAGCTTCTGCAGTATAGACTGTCAAAGCAGATGCTGAGCCTGATGGCCAACTGATGGGCAGAGTGAATGGAATTTTATGTAAGAAGTGGGAAATAGTAAGAGCTGGAGGGTATGGGAACTCCACAAGGAGAGCAACAGAACAAGATAATTTGAACACAGGGGACTTACCAGAAAATCATACTTCAACCAAGGACTATTCGTGGAGATGACCTGGAACCCCTGCACAGGTGTAGCCCATGGCAGTTCAGTGTCCAAGTGGGTTACATAGTAATGGGAAGAGGGACTGCCTCTGACATAATCTGATTGGCCTGCTCATTGATCACTTCCCCCTGAGGGGGGAGCAGCCTTACCAGGCCACAGTAGAGGACAATGCAGCCACTTTTGATGAGAACTGATAAGACTAAGATCAGAAAGAAGAGGAGAACCTCCCCTATCAGTGGACTTGGGGAGTGGCATGCATGCAGAAAGGGGAGGGAGGGTGGGGTCGGGAGGGGAGGAGGGAGGGGCTTATGAGGGGATACAAAATGTATAAAGTGTAATTAATAAAATATTTAAAAAATATTCTCTGAAAGCAAGGGAAAAATTTGGAGAGAGGAAGGGAAAAAAGATTATTTGAGGCTATATTATAATCTTAAAATATAAAATGAATCTAATAAATATTACTCAATATATATTGCCTAAAAAAAAAAAAAAAAAAAAAGAGTATAGTCCTACACAGGAGAATGTGTAATGATGATGTGTAAGAAAGTCAAACACTAAATTCAGATGATGGTTTTGTTTGGAGGCAAGGTGGGTGGAGGGTGAAATGAATATGCTAATGGGCTCCTGCCGTGTGTGCAATGATTATTTCCTGTGGTGGTAGTGGGTGGCTAGGTTTATTTTTTATTCTCTGTACTACTTGCTTATCCAAGATATTTATAATGTTAAGTTCAGATGGTGTAACCTACTCCCCCGCCATCCTTTCACCTGTATTCCTTAGTTTCCCAGAATTTTTGTAAAACCTTTTCTCCCATGTTTAAAAGTAAAATAACAATTCTGTTCCTTTTTCATAGTGTTCTTTATGTAGTTTTATACTATTTTCTTATAAATATATCTTAGAGATTATGTGGTATCTATGTTGTGTAGTTTTTAATAAAAACAGGTTTTTTGTCAGCAAGAACATTGTCATTGACTTATATTTTGGGCTTTATTTGTGCATATACATGTATGTATAGCTTTTGCTGTATAACATCTGCTTAACCAACAAGAAAGCCAAGTCTCTTCCCTAATTCCTCTTTGCAAATATTCCTGAATCATCCCATGGAGGCACAGGCCCTGCTCTGTGCCCCTCTGGTTTGTGAGTCATGTTCCCTTTTAGGGAATATGGGGGTGGGGATTTGGGCTTTGGAGCTTGGGTTTGGATCCTCTGCCTCTGCCCCTTACTAGCAATGTTGTTTTGGGTGTTTTTTGTTTTTTGTTTTTCATTCAGCCCTTCCATCTGTAGAGGGAATTTAATACTCCTTTGTTTCTGAAGTTCTATTAAGAACAGAATGGAGTAGAGTGTCCAACACATAGGAAGCACTCACTGTGAAGTATTAGCTATTTTTATTGTATTATTGATTGCTCACCTGTCTGCTACTCATGCTATTGCTAATCTACTGATGTTTAACCCCGCCCTTCATCACTGACCTCCTTAGACCTTGGTCTGTCTGGCTCTTGCAGAAGCCTCATTCTCATTTTCAAAATCTGCTCTTTCAAAGGATGTCCCCAGTGACAGCCATTGAACTTGAGCTGCCTTCTCCCCAAAGCACCAGGGCTGTTTGCATAGCCAGGGCAGAGATGGTGGTGAAGTACAGCCTCCCACCTGCCGGCAGCTGTGACCTACTGTGTCCTTGTCGGTCACAGTCACACAGCCACATCGTCTGCCTTGGCCAGGGCTGGCTTGCATATCCTGATGCAGGATTTTCCCCTTGAGGCTCATTTGCCATATCTCCCTTTTCTTACCTTGGAGAATCTGCTTCCAGGTGTAAGTGCGGTCGGGTTGTAGGCTCTTTCTCATGAGCGCCCAGGCCCCATATAAATCAGAGTATGGTTGACATCTGTGACTAAGTCCCACACACATTTTATGACACTCAAGAGGCCAGTGTCTCCTGAATGCCAGAGAATCTCAGAAGAAAACTGGCAGCTCTAGTCCAGGTAGGATGCCTATGGGGCTGGAGAGAGAGTTTGGGCTCACAACCAGGTAGAATACCTTGTTGATTCCTACTTAAAACTACATTTGAATAGCACTTTCTGTTACAACCCAGTTTTCACTTAAGTTGTCTCATCTGCCCCTGAGCCGCACATCAGTGTCTCATTTCCATCTCTCCAGTTAAGAAACAGCATTAGAAACATGATCACAAGATGCGGGTGGAGCTCAGTAGTGGAGTGCTCACCTGTTGTAGATGAAGCCCTGGGCTCATCTCTAGAGCTAGAAGGAGAGGAGCAGTGTGGCTTGCCTGGCATGTGCAAGGCCCTGTGTCAGATACACATGATCACGTACAAAAGAATGAACATCTCTTTCACTCATGAGTCACTCATACAAATGACCTTCTTCCTTGGTTAAAGAAAGAAGACTGTGTTACTGTTCAATAGAGTTTATCTTAGTTGTCATAATTAAGGGGTTAATGTTAGACAGGGAGTGAGATTAACACTGCTGAGAATTTCATTGAAAATTAGGCCTTAATGCTGCAGGTTTGTGTGAATAATAGTGTGTGTAAGTTCTGTGTATAAGCCTATATATTTGTGTTTAAGTAGCTATACATACCAAACATACGTATTTATGTTGGTTTTTTTCAGAGCCACAATGGATACTGCTAGCCATAGCCTTGTTCTTCTGCAGCAGCTGAACATGCAGCGAGAATTTGGTTTTCTGTGTGATTGCACAGTAGCTATTGGAGATGTTTACTTCAAAGCCCACAGAGCGGTGCTTGCTGCTTTTTCTAACTATTTCAAGATGATATTTATTCACCAAACAAGGTAAGAATGTGCTTTTGTAAAATGAGAATTTTTAATATTGTGATGTATCTGTCTTATAATATCATTTAAGGCAGTGGTTCCTCAGCCTTCCTAATGTTGAGACCCTTTCATGCAGTGCCTCATGTTATGGTAACCTCCGCCATAAAATTTCTTTTTTGCTGTCATAACTAATTTTGCTACTGTTAAGAATCGTATGTAAGTATCTGATATGCAGGTATCTGATGGTAGACTCCTCTGGAAGGGCAGCCAGTGCTCGCAACCTCTGAGCCATCTCTCCAAGCCCTAGTCGACCCCTCTGAAAGTGTTGTTTGACTCCCCAAAAAGAGGTCACGACCCACAGGTTAAGAACCACTGGTTTCAGGGATTATTATGGGGTTACCCTAATACAATTTTTTATTTATAATAACATTTATGTATCAGTATTAAATTCAGCACAAGATGTCCATGGTAGAACATACTAACTAAAATTGACTCAAGGCTTAGCCCAGCCAGGTGTAGTGGTGCACAACTTTAATCTTACCACACTGGAGGCAAGTGCATCTCGGAGTTTGAGGCCAACTTGTCTACATAGTTCCAGGCCAGCCAGGGCTACCTAGTATGATACCTAGTGTCTCAAAAGAGCACTACCAACGAAAAGACTTGCCAATACCCAGGCACTGAGTTTGAGGCCAGCCTAAGCTAGACTGCAAGTGCCAGGCCACAGTAAAACCCTGTCTCAAAAGAACAAAATGAAACAAAAGGGATAAAAACATTTGTGGTGTGAAGAAGATTTGATCATTCAGAGAACAGAACAGAGGAGGTGATTAGAAAGTGTGGCACGGTAAGAAGATGGGGTTGGAGTGCAAGCCAGGTAATGGGAAGCCTTTGTCTCCGAGAGGACACTGTCAGTACATTTACCACATTACAAATGCCATCTTCCCCTCGGTTTCCTCTGAGCTGTGGTTGTTTAGCTTCTGCAGTACCCGTAGTGAGCCAGGTGCTACCTAAACACTGGCACCGAGAAGGTGAGGCCTGCCCTGCCTTGTGTTTGTATTGATCAGCTAGACACCTTCAGGTAACTCCCAAAATGCTGTCACAGAAGATGCCAGTGAATAATAGACAGAGCAGAGCAAAAAAGTGAAGCCTGAGCGAGGAAACGGGATCCCAGGGTTAAGGGCTAGAGAAACTAGGTTTCCAGTGTGCTGACTCCCAGTGTGTTCTGACTCAGAGTCACTGCTTCAGAGAGACTGAGTCCATCCATGCCGCCCACTGCCTCTCCATGGCGTCATTTCCCTTTCTCTTGATTCTATCTACTAACCAAATTGAGTTTGAAAGTATTATAATGCTTTTCAGAATTTGTGATTTAAAGCTTTAGAATCCAAAATAAATTTAGCATCACTTACATTTTAATTGTTAATAATTTCATTAAATTTCTTTAGAAATATGAATATTTGTTTGGTTTGGTTTGCTTTTGGTTGTTTGTCACTTTGTTTGTTTTTTAAGATTTTTTTTATGGGAATGAGTGTTTTGCCTGTGTGATGTGAGCTGTTACAAGGGTGCTGGAATTTGAAGCCAGGTCTTCTGCCAGAGCAAAGTTCTCTTAACCACTGAGCCATCTCTTCAACCCCCTGTTTTTTTTTTTTTTTTTTTTTTTTTGTATGTGTTTGTTTTTCTGAGATAGGGCCTCTCTATAATTAACAATTTTAAATCATCCAACTAAATGGCAATAATTACATTCATAATGTTACACCTGCAGCTATCACTACTGTTTCCAGAACATGTTCATCACTCTAAAGAGAAGCTAAGCAGTAACTCTTCGTTCTCCTTCAGCCACCTGTAACCACCCTTATTTCACTGAAGGTTCCCCTTGCCCCATATGTCTCTGTCCCTGTCCCTTGTGTGTGGCTGTTTAGTCTGCATTTATATCTGTGTTCCACTTGCATGCCTGGTGCCCATTAAGCCAGGAGAAGGCATGAAGTACCCTGAAACTGGAGTTACAGACAGCTGTGAGCCAGCCATATGGGTTCTGGGAATCAGAACCAGGTTTTAGAAGAACAGAAGAATAGCAAGTGTTTTAAACCACTGAGTCATTTCTCCAGCCCAGTTCTGTCTCTTTGAATGTGTTTTTGTTGGATATTTCTTTTTTGTTTGTTTTGTTTTGTTTTGTTTTGTTTTTTCAAAACAGGGATTCTTTATCCCTGGCTTTCATGAGTGCTTGGGTTGAAGGCATGTGCCACTTTGCCCGGCTTTGTTTTATATATTTCATGGACATGATACAATTTTTGGTCTTTTGTGTCTGGCTTTTTTATTTAGCATCTTTTCAAGAGTTCAACCTTGAACTGAGTTACAACACACACCAGAACTTAATTGTTTTTTATGACAGAATAACATACAGTTGTATTTACAGCCTTATTTTGTATATCCATTCTTTTTTTCTTTCCTTTTTTCTTTTTCTTTTTGATACAGGGTTTGTCTATGTAGCCCTGCCTGTTCTGAAACTCTCTGATTAGACCAGGCCAGCCTCAAACTCAGAGAGATTCACCTGCCCCTGCCTTCCAAGTGCTGGGATTAAAGGCTGCGCCACAACAACTGGCTCCATTTCATCTTTTGGTGGATAGTTAGTTGTTTCCAGTATTAGCCACTATAAACAATGCTACAGTGAAACCAGCGTATAGGTATCCTTTTGAGTTTCTGTGTATAGTTCCTTCTGTTATATGTTCAATATAAAAACAGAGCACCTATTTTAGTCACTGTTTTTTCTATCCTCTGGCACCTAGAAAAGATCATATTGCTTAGGAGTCACTCAGTGTTGAACTAACCCAAATATCTGTCTGCATTTTCTGGTGTTAGGCAATAGAACGGATGCACAAAGGCCTGTTGATACATCATAAAGGCAATTAAAAATCAGAGTGACTTTTTTGCTATTCTATTTCATCAAGGCAGACTGCCAGATTAAACCTCTTTGGAAGAGGTTTAACCTAAGATTGTTTTAACCTAAGATTGCTAGAGACCAAAAGGCCAACTAGGTTGTGTTTCATTCTGTGTGGTTTTGTTTTTGTTTTAACAGTGAATGCATAAAAATACAACCAACTGACATCCAGCCTGATATATTCAGCTACTTGTTGCATATTATGTACACAGGAAAAGGGCCAAAACAGATTGTGGATCATAGTCGTTTGGAGGAAGGGATCCGGTTTCTTCACGCTGACTACCTTTCTCACATTGCAACTGCAGTGAATCAAGTGTTCTCACCAGAGACTGTGCAGACCTCAAATCTTTATGGTATTCAGATTTCAACAACTCAGAAAACAGCCGTCAAACAAGGACTGGAGATCAAAGAGAAGCCTCCCAGTAGCAGTGGGAACAGAGCTGCTGTCCAGGGGGACCACCCCCAGTTGCAGCTCTCGCTTGCAATTGGGCTAGACGATGGCAGTGCAGAGCAGCAGAGGGCCCATCCTGCTGCCCAGGCCTTGGAGGAGCACCAGAAGCCCCCAGTGTCCATCAAACAGGAGAGATGTGATCCAGAGTCTGTGAGCTCCCAAGGCCACTCCCCCACCTCATCCGAGGTGACTGGCCCCTCTTTTACAGAAAACAGCCTCAAAGTTCATTTCTGCCACTACTGTGGGGAGCGCTTTGAATCCCGGAGTAACCTGAGACAGCACCTCCATACCCATGTATCTGGGTCTCTCCCGTTTGCTGTCCCTGCCTCCATTTTGGAAAGTAATGACCTTGGTGAAGTGCATCCACTTAGTGACAGCAGCGAGGCTCTTGAGTGCAGGAGGCTCAGCTCCTTCATTGTCAAGGAGAATGAGCAACAGCAGCCTCCGCCTGAGCACTCTAGCCGGGGGACCTCAGAGCCTTTGCAGATCAGTCAGGTATCCTTGATCTCCAAAGACTCAGAGCCAGTAGAGTTGAACTGTAATTTTTCTTTTTCAAGGAAAAGAAAGATCAGTTGTACCGTCTGTGGTCATAAATTTCTTCGAAAGAGCCAGTTACTGGAACACATGTACACACATAAAGGTAAAGCGTACAGATATAACCGATGCCAAAGGTTTGGAAACTCATTGGCCCAGAGGTTTCAGCAGTATTATGACAGCTTGCCCGAGGTCCCCTTAAAAGGTTCTCGCTTGTCCCAGGAACGTTTAGACTTGCCTTGTGCCTTAGAGTCAGAGCTCACCCAAGGAGGTGTGGACACCATCCTTGTCGAGTAGCACCTTCTCCCTGAGGAGTCTCACCGTCATGGGTCACATGCCACTCTTAAGTCCCAAAGTACTCACCTCCTCATGGTTTTTTTTTTTTTAACTTAAAATAATCTGTCCCTGGTTTTGAGGTTGTACATACCAGTTCTTAATATAAGACGTGACTGTTAAATGTAATGTTCAAATTATCCTATGAGCTTTGTTATAAATTAAATCATCATTTGAAAATCAGAAGCTACTACAGAAGCTATAACATCTCTTGTTTTTCCAGGCTGCAGAATCAGTAAAATGAATATGAAGCAGATGAGCTCTGTTTCAAAGAATGTTTTAGAGACTGGAAATGAAGCCCATCTGTAGAGTGCTTGCCTAGCATGTGTGAGGCCCTAGGTTCAGTCTCCAGCACACACACACGCTCACACACATTTCTAAGCTGTCACTCTTGTCTTAAGAATTACTTTCTTATGAAAGTGATTTTAAGTATTTTCTGCCACATGGGAAATCAGTAGTTATTTTAATGTAGATCTATATATATAATAATATATAAAAAGTTTCTTTTAAGACGTGGCTATACTAATTCACCACGAGTAGTTTTAACTGGCTACTTACTAGCATTCTGATCTTTATATGACCTTTTATTTACTTAACATCAAGTATACCTCATTTTTAATAAAAGTATTTCAGCTAAAAGAAAGGACTAGAGAAGTCAGTGGTAAGGAAGTCTTGAATAGAGAAACTAGTACACACAGACACATAGAGCACAGAGGCAGCTTGAGCTAACCCCGGGGCAGGCAGCCACAGCTACAGTATTCTTAGAGACTGTAAGGGGCAGTTTCAGATTTTTATAACAAGAGGTTTGCCCAAGTTTAAAGAGAAAAATGATACAAGTATCTCTCTACCTTAATGTAGCAGAATTTCCATGCCTGCCTGGGTCCATGGTATTTTTTGTTGTTGTTTGTTTGTGTTTTGTTATTTTGAGGCAGGGTTTCTCTGTAACATCCCTGGCTGCTCTGGACTCCTTTGTTGACCAGGCACTCACAGAGATCCGAATGTCTCTGCTTCCCAAGTGCTGGGATTAAAGGTGTGTGCCACCAGGCCCAGCAATGGTAGTTTTTCTAAGTCCCTCATAAAGGTAACTAACTGTGCAGTGTCGTGGCTTTCACTTTGCTGTTAGTAAAACCAGTGAGTGGATGTGTTCCGGGTCTCAGAACTATTTAAACCCCCTGCTGGAAGCTCTTCTTTTGTGAATATATTCACTTCACTTTTATAGTGGTGACACTTAGAAACTTAAAGCCCCAGGAAAATTGAAGTTGATGGACTAAGTGATGGATGTTCTGTACCTAAAAATAACCCAGCAAGTTGTATTGTTTCTGAAGGGTTTAAATGTGAAGTTCTGTACTCAAGGATCAGAAGGCAAGAAAGACTAAAACAGCCTCCCTGTCTCCTTCCCCTATCCTATTAAATAAAGTCTAAGCCTCACAGACATTTGAGAACATTTGAGGTGGTCCTGACACACATGAATTTTGCAATGTTACCAGGTTGGCCTTAAACGCTTGGGCACAAGCAGTTTTCTGCTTCAGCTTCTCAAGTGGCCAGGACCATGGGCATGTGCAGTCTCACAGATACTTGATACATCTGTTTTGTTGTGATTCTTAGATTTTAGCCACAAGCAAAAAAAAAAAAAAAAAACATCCCCATCCCCCTGAGAGAGTACCTCTGAAGACATTTCTTAAGAGGCTCAGCTACCTCTTTCTGTCAGAAGGGCAGAGGAATCCAGCTAATTCTGAAATGAAAGGAATTGTTGGGGGTACTGTTAAACAGTGATTTCATGTGAAAAGTTTCAGAGAAGGTGGTCCCACCTGTAATCTCAGATTTTGTGAGTTTGATCTCCGTGAGTTCAAGGCAGCTGCATGGTAAAATCCTGTCTCAAACAAAAACCACACACACACCACACACCACCACACACCAAAACAAAGTAGCAGTTTCCCTTTTTTAGGTTTTTGAGACATCCTTGCTCTTTGGTCCAGGCTGGTCTTGAACTCACTGTCCTCCAGTGGTTGTGTTTCCCCCTTCCCACCTCGCCCCTGCCTCCTGTGGGGTGTAGCAGCAGCCAGCCTTCAAACTGGTAACTTTTGAGGGCCAAATGAAGAACCCTAGTGGTCATTGTTTTAAGGTAATTGAATTTCAAATTTAGAAAATTTGCCTCTGGGATCAAGACTGACGCGTTTTGAGAGCAAATTTCACAATGGTAGAATCAATTGATTAAACAAATGTGAGGGGTGTGTCATAATGACACGTTAAACTTAATTCATCAAAACAGTTACTCAATTATACTATCTTCAATGATTTAATCTTACAGAAACACAAATAGTGATTTCATGTATTTTAGGCTATTTAGGATATATTCCCTACTTTTTTTTTTTTTTTTTTTTTTTTAGATACAGTTATGTTTAGTCCAGGCTGGCCTCAAACTCATTACGTAACTAAAGATGGCCTTAAACTCCTGATCTGCTTGTCTCTTACCTCCAAGCACTGGCATTCTAGGACCATTCCTCCCCTGCCCGTTCCCAGCTCTATCCTTCTCATTTAAAACTTTTCAACTTTTCTATGTTTTTTTCTGTTTACCGAGTCATTAGTCTTACCCACAGGAAGCCCCTATATAGCTAAAGGGTGGGAGTAGAGATGTGCTTGCAGAGTAGGTGACTCTAGGAGCTCCAGGAGAAGTGCTAAAAGAGTGTGCCAACAGCTAGTGGCCGTGCTAGACACTGTTTAAAGTGGAGCTGTATGTACAAGTCTCCAGGAGTTAATAAGACCAGATCAGTAAATAAAATGAACCATACCTAGAGTCAGGGAGATGGCTCTCCATGGAAAGTGATTGCTGCTCGTGCTTTGGAACCTGAGGTGACAGCTAGGTGTGGTACCTGTAGCCCAGTGCTGGTGGAGGAGCAGAGACAGGAAGATACCAGGGGTCAGGCCAGCCAGCCTTGCAGAAAGAGCAGGCTCCAGGTCAGGGAGACACGCTCTCAAAAAACTGAGGAACAGAAGTGACGGTGGAAGACATCACGTTATCGTCTCTGACCTCAACACATGCCCGCATGGGTGCAGACACCCATGGACACGCATACCCCATCACATACAGAATAAATGAGTGGAGCTCTGAGCTTTAAGAAAATACTGGCTCACTTGGTTCCCGTCATCCTTAAAATTCCTTTAGTACCATGATCTTCACCTTATTCCTATTACTCACAAAGTTCCTTTTAATACCGAGAACTAAAGAAAAACAGAAAGCTGGTTCTCGGCCATCTGTAACCTAGCGATCAGTAGACTGGGGCAGGACTGTAAATTCAAGGCTAGCCTGGAGCTACATGGGAAGACCCTGTCTCAAGAGAAAAACCCCAACAACAGTTTGTTTTAGAACTCATTTTATAGAGAAAGTTCGCCAAAGCTGATTTCTAAAGAGGCATGTAGCGAGTGGTGTGTGACTGCTGTTGCCTTGTTTTGATTTTTAAAAAGGATCTGTTTGTCTTTATGTCACACGTTAGGGTGTCGAGGCCGCACGTGTTTCTGTGCACAGCACGCACAAAGTGCCTGTGGAGGCCAGAAAAGGGCGTCGGACCCTCTGGAACTCATGTGGGTGCTAGAACTGAACCCAGGTCCTCTGCATTAACAGCAAGTGCCCTTAAGCACGGAGTCGTCCCTCCAGCCCATTGTGGTTTTTTTTGAGATGAGATCTCACTCTATGGCCCATGCTGGCCTGGAATGTAAAACAGTCCCACGTCCACCTCCTAAGTGCCTGGGGTGGCAGGCGGGCACAGTCTGGGGAGTTTTGGTTTTGTTTTTTAAGACACGATTCTTCATTGGGGGAAAAAGGGTGTTCATATTTTAAACGTTTTTCCAGGAAAAACCTTTACTTTTTGTCACATATGCAAAATGGAGTCTCTCTCTCTCTCTCTCTCTCTCTCTCTCTCTCTCTCTCTGAGGCAGTGTGGTTTGTGTAATGGTTGCCAAGTTGAATCAGGAGTTGCCATATTACTTTGTTGCCAGATGTCGCCCTCTTGTGTTGAGGAAAGCAGTGTGTCTGCTGGGTGACATTTTGAAGGCGCCAGAAGCAGAAGCCTAAGTTCTTATCACCCGTCCCTGCATTAGGCAGATAATAAATGTCTTTTCCGATTGGGTCAGCGTTCAGTCTTCCCTTCTTTCCAGATCCTGCATGTAGCTGTTTTCTGCAGAAAAGCAGAGACTTTTTCGGTGTCCGTTCTTAGTGAGGAGGCCTCAGTAAGTGCAGACCGCCTTCGAAAGTGTTGTTGCCTTTTAATATGTATAACTTTTGAGATGGTTACTTACTTCTCCCTGGTAAAGTGGGTGTCAGCAGCACCTACCTCACAGGGGTGGTGTGAGGCTTTGTTCTGAAACGGTGAGCGTAAACGGATGAAAACCAACATGGGCAAAGTTCCACAGCGAGCCCTATTTGATATTCCACCCTGTGGATTGTAGAGCATGTTTGCAGCAGCCACGCACTACTTGGTAGACAACTGAGAAAATGCGCTTTTATGAAAACTCTGGAAACAGGAGTGCCGCTTGAGTTCTTGCTCTACTGTTTCTCCCTACCTTTCAGCAAGGAAAGTAGGAGTTAGCATTATTGGAAATAAAATACACCGATTTCAGCACTAATGAAACCTTTCCCCAAACACACCAATTACATATAAGAAAAGGAACAAAGAAAATGGAAAAAAAAATCCCATTGTTTCTTGGATGAAGATGCTTCAATTAGCAGATAGGGATGAGAAATGGAAAGAGGATAATCCATAGGAACTATCACTGTTCTTTTGAAGTAGAGCTGGAGAAGCTTTCTCTGACCACTGAAGGAATGCCTGCTAGTCTCGAGAGGAGAACAAGCTGCAAAGCGCACGGTTCCTGAAGCCTGTTTGCACAGGCAGACTGTTGACACTGAAACTTGGATTCCTGGTGAATACTCCATAGGTGTTTGTGTGGAAACTGCTACAAGTAGGTTGTGTGGAGAATTTTTACAATGTAACTTGTGTCTTTGAGTATACTTCAACTAAATATGTCTGGTGTGTCATTAATAAGCTGTTAAATCCCTAGGAGTGAACTCTGTAAACGCTTCCGTGCTTACCCGTGCTTGTGTAATTGGTCTTTCCTTTAACGTGGCGTGTCACCGTCCTAAATCTGGACATTAAATGCAAGTACTCCAGACTGACTCATCCTGCCCTGTAAGAGCCCATCGTGCTTCCGTGTGTGTTCACTTGAGTCCCTGGATACGCCTTCAGCACAGCCGTCAGCTCCCCAGTCACTTCAGAATCGGTCAGAATAGAAACTCCCAATACTGTAAAAGAAGCTCAGGCCTGGCCTGGTGGCACAGGCCTCTGTCGGCACTCAGGAAGCTGAAGCAGTAGGATGGAGTTTAAGGCCAGGCTGAGCTGAGTCTTAAAGGGCCTGGGGAGATGGTTCCATGGCTGAGAGCACTGGCTGTGCTTCTAG